GCTGAAGGACTGATGTCCCTAAATATGTGCCTTTTGAGTTAAGGTGGGAACTGTCATCTTAAAGCAACATGTCTGTCAGACTGTATTAGTGCCTGAGACTGAATATAAAATTAAAGAAAATTATACTAAGCAAGATTTCTTAAAAAGCTACACATTTATAAAAATGAAAACAACAAGTTATTTGTCTTTAAGCCCATTTAATATCTATAGGCAGATTACTAATAAAGTTACATATCACTTTTTTCTTTTGCTTCTTATGTGAATCGTGATATTTTTCACTCTTCTGTTTTATGGAGGCATATTATAAAAATTGTTACTGTTTGTGTCACTTTTAATTTTAGTTGTTTCTAACAACACCAGGAATTTTGCTTTAAAGGCTAAAAGATAGCTAGTGTTTCCTATCGCTTTTAGAGTCAAGTCTTTAAAATATTGTCTATGCAGTATATGTCAAGAGAAGGTATGTAATCGGGGCATTTATATTACACTTGAAAAAACCATGTATGTTAAGTTAAAAAGGAACGGTTGCTACATAAAAAGCTGCAATGTTGATAAACATTTGTGAACATAAACAGTTCAAGTAATGGAAGTTGTGTTTTAGTGTAGCATTTGTACAGAACCTATTAATCGTATTGACATGTCTAAATTCTGTATGTGGAAGACTGGCCTTTGAGTTCAAGTCCATAAGTGACCTGGTATACTACAAACAGTGAAAAAAGAACGTGCTAATTATGATGGATAAAATCATGAACTCAAGATTTGTGTTAGGATAATTTTTAACAGAGTGCTTATAGATAGAAAGCTTGGATCAGGTGCAGATAGATGTATTTGATGCTGTAAACCAGTATTTTATGTCTCTTGGGTGGCCATAGGGCCACTTTTTTTACTTCTGCTGAATTACCAGTAAAGACATTATTGATGAAGGTAGGGGATGGTCCATAGAAAGTTCACTTGCTCCATACGGAAGTAGAAGTTTGTCTAAGATGCCTGCTTTCTGGCTTGTGTTGTATAATACAGAAGGAAAAATGTTGATTATTTAGGTTTAATATATGCACTCAGAAAGCTTGGTCTGTGGAGTCTATATTGTCCTTCATAATTATGTGCACTTGAGGAAGCAGGACAGCTCATGACATACATGAATTGCAAGTGTGAAATTTTTGCTGGGTTTGTGATCAGATGAATAAGGATTCTTGGTATGCCTGAATATTAATAATAGTAATTTTCTTTTAGATTCATGCACATATCATCCAGGTGTGCCAGTCTTTCATGATGCTCTCAAAGTAAGTATGCAACTATCTTTTTAAGTCTCTTTTTTTTTATATATATGTAAAACAGTATGCTTCTATTCCTTTTTAATTCCCAATCTTTCAGTGGTATATAAATTGATGTGCAACCTGTCATGTTCTAGCAACTCTATGAAATTAGAAAAGCACATTTACTCAAAACTGCAGAAGAAATTAAAAACTGTACTCATACGGTCTAAATGCTGTGCAAGTCTGTATGACACCTGTTTCCTATTGATTGACTTTAGATGTCTCAACAGTTTAATTAGGTCATCTGCATAGGTCTTCAGAGGCATTGAGAGGTGTCATACTCTTTCAGTTCATTAACCTGCTTGGAATTCGAGCCAGCTGCTTGTCGTCTTACGTGGCTTGTGAACTAATGTGTATGTGACATTTGCCTACTGTAAAAAATGATTGTGTTCTGCTGATCTGACAAATGAGTTATGTTGATGAAGTTAGGACTGGTCACCCATGCCTCTGATGCAGCTGTCCGGGATTCTTGAGCTACATCTTCAGTAGTGAATTAAATCTATCTGTGACTGGTCTCCAGTGCTCAGGCTAACTGCATAGCCCATAGTCATTGTCATTAAACTGTTTTCCTGCTTCAGGATCTACTGGATGCATCCCAAGGACCTACAGAGAATTACATGAGACAAAACTGCCAAAACAGTACTGGAAGTCATTATAACAATTTAATAGTGTATGGCCAGAAATCTAGTGTCCAGAAATGGAGCCTTGCACTGTTTACTGTATTAATACAGATGTAACATAAGTGACCTTTCTTAGGACACCAAACTGCTATTTATCTGAGCTTTGGGGCAAGCATTTTTTTTCTTGATACTTAGGAACTGCTTCTACTGGCAGTGCATCTAATCCCTGTCCCATAACGTGGTGTCTTTTGGGCTCGTGGAGGCTGGTGCGTATGTGCTGGGTAGCGAGTTTTCTGTAAGCTATTGCTTATATTGCAGTACATGACTCTGGAATCAGCCACTGTGTGCCACTGGCAAATTGGGACAGATGCCATTAGATCAGATACGATACAGTTAATTAGACTATGGCAATTTGTTTTGTACAAAATTATAGTTGTACTCATAACACAGTATGTAAAACTTCTACCTAATTGTAAAGACAGAAATTATACAGTTAGATCAAAAGATTGTGTTTACTTCCTCTTTCTTTTATATACACACCATTTTTAAAACAAGTACTACTTCTCCCTCCTCTCCGTATCCTATCTCTTGGCCTAATTAAAAAATTATCATAATTTTGTATGGGCAGTTTTCTTTCTGCTGTGAATTTTAGATAATCTAAGTGGGCAGGGTGAACCTGGTGTCTCCTGGACTGTGGAAATAGTTAATATTTTGAGGATATTTTAGAACCACCTACCTAAACCCCACTGTGCTGCAATGCTTAAACTCTCAAAACAGTGGTGCATTTATTAGTCAAACTGTTGCCTTTAATAAGGTTCTTTGAGTTCTAAGATACATTATTCACAGTGGCAAGATAATTTTCTCTAAAATTGGATTTCTGTTTTATATAATAAAAAATGTTCTTGATTGATATAGTTGGATAGATGGCTATGCAAGGCAGATACCCAGCTTTGTGGTGGGAAATAAGCAGTTGAAAGAATTCACTAGTTCTCAGAGAAAAAAAATCATCATTTTAGGAAGGGGCCCTGTACATTCTGCCATAGGTGAGCAGAATATATCTCAGGTATAGTATTTGCTTGTTTTGCTTACGTGTTACTTTATGAGATAAAGTAATGTTTCTATCTTCTGTCATACAGAGTTGGCATCTAGCTTGTCATAGAAATACTCCCTCATGTTTACCAAACTTTCTGATTAAGGCAGCATGAGTAAACTAGAAATGGCAGCTGTAACCAGTTTCTATGGCTTTTAAAAATGGAGATGATGATGATAATATTGTCCAAAGAAGGGAAGACAATTAGCTCTAATTATGATGTGCCACATCTTGTAAAGGAATATAATTAGTCTTTTGCTTTTTGTAAGCTGTTGCCAAGTAAGGTAGTCATGCTTATTTTGTTTTTATTCCAAAACATTTACAGGGTTGGTCATGTTGTAAGAGAAGAACAACAGACTTTTCTGACTTCTTAAGCATTGTGGTATGTACCCATGATTGCTTACAATTTTTATACTTGTCAAATGACAGTGATAAATATTAAATGCTACACATGCTTACATATTTAAAATTTGTGTACTTTTGTTAGAACTGTCTTAAATCTTACATGCACTGTTTTTCTTGATATAATGTTGAAGTCGAGTCTCATTTTCAAGCTTTAATGGTTATAATCAGTTCTATCAAAACTTATTTAGATGATTGTTAACAATGAAGGAAGGTCAATATTTTTTGTTACATTGCTTGATTACAGAAAGTATACATTTTTCTTTAACTTATGTTCAAACGAAGATATTTTCCACTTTGGCTGCAAAAGAAATCCTACAACTAATGTTTAGAGTGGGCTAAAGGAGAAGATGGGGCTGAAGAAATAAATCAAGAAAACTTGCTGCAGTTTTTGATAATTTTTAATTGTGCACACAAACTATGCTGCATATATATAAACATATGCTTTCCATAACAGGGCTGTACAAAGGGTCTCCATAACAGTGAGAAACCTCCTGAGCCTGTCAAACCTGAAGTCAAAACTACCTCTGAACGAAAGGAGCTAGCTGAACTGAAACCCAAATTTCAAGAACACATAATTCAGGCACCAAAACCATTGGAAACAATTAAAAGGCCAAGGTACAGTATATGAAACTAAGTTTTGCCAAATTTGTGGTCAGTTGGCCAAGTTAGAACTCATTTGGTTATTCAGTGTTACACATCTCATGTAGCGTAAAAATTCCCAAATTAACTTTAAAAGAGCTTGTGTTTGGTAGCAGTGATGATGTTATCTTAAGCTTCAAAATGAGATAAAAGAGTTCTGGTTAGGACAAGGTAACACCTGAATTTCTCAGCATTTAGCTTCACAGGAAGCAAAAATTGCAGTCTAAAGCCTTGTAGCTCAGAATGCCACTAGCAGTTGTGTTTAGCGTTAAAGTCATAAAAATAATTTTAGGTTGCTTGTGTTTAGATTCCTTAATTTCTCTGATTTATTTTTGTTATTGTAGAGTATTTAGGATTTCCTGTTGAAAACCAAGACTACCTTCTAAATTTCTAGTCTGTTTTTCCATAAGCAGTAAGAATTGGCATTTACAAATCTAGTTTGTTTGTTTGATGTTGTAAAGGAGGTTGGAAAAGAGCCTTATAGCAAGATTAAAAGTTACTACTTTATTGTCTTTTGTAAATTATTTTTTGTGAAGCTGACGTGAATACATGGATGGTTTTTTTTAGCCCAGATGAGCCAATGACAAATTTGCAGCTGAAAGTGTCAGCTTCCTTGAAGCAAGCACTAGATAAACTGAAACTGTCATCAGAAAACGAAGAGAAAAAAGGTAAGGATGTAGGGAGGTTAAGTAGGTATATGATGCTAATTGTCACACAAATAAATGAAATGCTATTTTTTGTTGTTGTTTCTGAAGTAATTATTTCATGTAATTACGTTCTTGTTCTTAATAATCTGGGAAATATCTTCCAGTCAAGGGAATGCTAATCAAAATTTAAATGTGAACAATGTGAAGACTTGGGAATTAGGAACAGTATGTTCCCATTAAAATTATTTAAACTGCCTATTTTGTAACATTTCGTGGTAGAGTCGACATGATGGGAACTTCCATTTCTGAATATAAAACTGAAAGAGTTTCCCAAGAAATGAACTCTACTCGTACGTTACTGCAAACACGATGTTGTATAAAGCCTTTCATAAACTGGTGAAATGTCTCTGAAGACTAGTTGGTTCTCCTTTGTCTGTTTTTCCTCTTTTTCTTCCACAGTTTATTTGGAATTTGGTTCCAGAACTACACAGCTCCTTAAGAAACACTTTCTAATTTTAACCTACATTTGTGGCTATTTTACACTTTTTTGTTCTTGTGCCAAAATGTCATTTAGCTCTTCTTTCTACTTGGTATCCAAATTCTTTCCTTCTGTGTATTTATAGGCAGCATTTGGAGCCTTTTACAGTCTTAGTTTTACAAAACTGAACAAGATGAGTGATTGCTCTCTTCCCCTGTGATTGTGATAATCTTCTTCTTAAAATTTATTCTGTTTTTTTGCCCCACTTAAAATGATGTAAAGGTATGGAACCAAGAATCTGATGCATAGGTATTACAGCTTGTGGAATGTTTGCATAATCTGTTTCTTTGTACCTTTCTGGCAGAAAATACATAGCGTGAGAGGGTTTTGGTTAGGTTTTTTTTGTGGATTTTTTTCCTAATCTACTCAGCTCGTTTTAAACCTCAATAAAAGCAAAACATTTAGTACATTATACACTTCGTTTGCTATTTTCTATAATATGATTCTGTTTACAGAGGAAGACAGTGATGAAATCAAGATTGGGACGGCATGTAAAAATGCAGGCTGTTCAAAAGTAAGTGGTTCAGTTCACTCTTAAACCCAGCTGCTAAACTATTAATTGCGCAGTTTTTGTTTTCCTTTCTTGGGTGGTTTTTTGTGTGCTACAAATTGATTTGGAAATGGCAATAAGTCTGTCAGGCTTAATGAATGAACATTTGATAACACACTTTAATATGGACAAATATGGGCTGTTTTGTACTGTGGATGCAGTAAGTCTAGGACTTACTTTTTTTTTTAAGCCTGTCCTGAAGTTCTAATTAGCAAGCTTGCCAAACCCATCATACTTAAAATATTCAACTTAAAATGTTAAATAAAATACTGGTGAGAATTGGCTTACTGATAACACTTGAATTGCTCTTGATAATCTATGTATAGGTCAGAAGCATCTGCAGATCTTATCAATTAATGCTTCCTGCCAGAAGAATCCACAAAGAAGATGTTTTAACGCTCCTAGCACCAAAATTAGCCTTTCTATTACATAGTCATTTAAACTGAAAGGTTTTTGCACTGACACCCTTGTCTTGCAATGGGACAGTAGAATTTAAATAGATATTTCATAGACTCATAGACTGGTTTGAGTTGGAAGGGACCTCAAAGCCTATCTAGTTCCAACCCCCCGCCATGGGCAGGGGCACCCTCCACTAGACCAGGTTGCCCAAAGCCCCATCCAGCCTGGCCTTGAACACTTCCAGGGATGGGGCCTCCACAACCTCTCTGGGCAACCTGTTCCAGTGCCTCACCACCTTCACAGGGAATAATTTCTTCCTCATTTCTAATCTAAATCTACCCTCTTTCAGTTTAAAGCCATTGCCCCTTGTCCTATCACTCCATGCCCTTGTAAACAATCTCTCTCCAGCTTTCATTGGACATCTGACAGATTTTGCTTTTTCTACTGAAACTCTGGTGGGAGGAGAAAATATAGCAGTTTCTTGCTTGTGTTAGGAAGAACTGATATGATATTCAGAGTTTTATATTGTTTAATTTACTTCCCTTTGAAAATCCATGTGTCTTATTAATGATAAATTTATTTTCCAGTCAACTACTTGTTTTCCTTAAATATTGAGCGTATTTTTAGAGATGGATATCTCTGAGGATCTAAAGTGACCTTTATGAGCATAGATGATGTCACCACTGATGCACTCCATTGAACTAATACAAAGTATAACTTGTTAGAAGGAGTGCCAGGGAACCTTTTGTGAATGAAGGCTAAATGGTTATTTTGAAAAGCTAGGGCAAGCCATTAGATTTAGATTATTTACTCAAAAACTTTGCAGTACTTTGTTCAATGTTTCTGTTGTGGATTGTGTTTTTTGTTTTGTTTTTTCCTTTGGTCCACATCCCCTAACAGTAATACACTTGAAATGCTTTGTTTTACTAGACATACGAAGGACCACACAGCACAGAAGAAGTATGTATATACCATTCTGGTGTACCTATATTCCATGAAGGGTTAGTATTCAGTTAATTTTAATTTTGTTTTTAATTAGTCTATTATGTGTTCCTGCTTTCTTTGTAGATATTGCCTTGTTTTCCTTCCGTATTTCTTCTTCGGTCAAAAATGGCAATGCTTGAAGAGGGTATACTAAATTAACAGTAATATTGCACAAAGGAAAGATCTTAAGTAGTCGCAGTAAATGGTGTCCTAAATATTGTTTATGAATTACTTTGTGAACTTTCAAGGATGAAGTATTGGAGCTGTTGCAAAAGAAAAACATCTGACTTCAATACATTTTTAGCTCAAGAAGGCTGCACAACAGGAACACACGTATGGACTAAAAAGGATGCAGTAAGTAGCATGAACATTGCATTCTATAGCTGGCCATTCTGAATTTTGAATACTGAAATGTAGTTAGTAGCTTGTTTGAGTTATGACTTTAGTTGAGCCGTTACAGATCACTACCTCTGAAAGAATATGGAGGATAATACGCACAGCATGACAGCAGACAAATGCAGTCTGAAGTAATTTGTAATAGAAGTATCACTGTTCTATAGAAAAAGCGTTTTTAGCAAATTCAGGAAAAAGATAAGTCTTTTCTGCTTTGTTAGTTAAGAAAGTCTATGGTATTCCATATAGAATATATTTCAAATATATTCCTTTAAAATAAGATTTTTGGAAGACTTTCTTCCCCTAAAGACCATGAAGAGAGCAACTGTACATGTTCTGTAGTAAAATAACTGTACTTCCAGTTTCACGCAGAGTAGTTGAGTTGTTGTTTGTGTAGGGACGGCAGGGCAGATAAGGTCGATGGGGTTCCATGGGTAGGGATGGAAGGGTCTCTTTCTGTCTAGTTTGAATTCTGTTTACACATGTGAGTATTTTTCTGGTCTGAATCTTAATTCAGTGGTTTGGTTTGGCTACCAGTAAAACAAATAGCCTCTGTTTAGGTTGTAGGAATTTCGTTGCAATGTTGGGAACCAACTGCAGAATTACAAGGTGAAAAATATTTCCAGTCAAGGTTTAAAAAGATTCTTAGAGAATATTACAGAACATAATCATGGAACTGAACACTCCAAAAACATTAGCTGGTCACTTGTTGGATGTAGGTGAACACAAAATTCTTGTTATGTCTATTGCTGAGGTAAAATGGGTTTCATACTACAAACATTGGTAACATTTAACAGAAGATCATGATATATTATAGAAAGTGTAGTTCTGTTACCTCATTCTCTAACAATTACTTCGTAAGTCCTTCCTTTAAGTCATCGAATTGCTGCTTGCTTTGAAATTTATGTTTGTGTTTTTAACAAGTATTTTCAATACAGAAAGGAGGGATTAAAAAAAAAACAAAAATGCTGAAGTTGTGAGCCTACAGCAGGAGGGTATTGTAAAGATTTTACCCAGATGTTTAGAACTATGTGTATATTAAATGTGTGCATATTGAGATAATGGGCTTCTAGCTTACAAGGGAGTTGACTTTACCTTTTTGTTGTTGTTCTGGGTTTTTTCGCCATTTATTTTTGCTGCATCAGAGAACAGAGGGCAGTACTCAATAATTTATTGCAGTAATAGCAAAGTTTCTTGGAGTCATGGCTTGCTTTTTCTTTCTTTGGTTCCCTTCTACTGTGGGCTGGATAACTGTAGTCTTGGAAAGGAAGTTAATCCAACAAGCAACTTTTTTTTTTTCGCTTGTTTTGGGGTATTTTTGTTTTGTTTTTCTGTAACAACGTCCCAGTTTCTTACTGTAGTCTCTGTCATAAGCATTGATTTTTCTCACTTCTGATGTTTGTCAGGGACCAGTAGCTGAAATATTTAGTAAAAAAATGTAAGTGGAGTCGTGCAATCTCCTGTGAACATGAACTGTAGTCCTTTGCTTCTTGGCTATTAAAATAGTCCTCAGCTTTTATCCTGATGAATCTTGTAAAAATACTCCTCAATGCAATTTTAAGTCTTTTTTTCTGTAACTTTTTCTTTACATA